TGGGGAATTCTGGGTGTTGAAGTCCGTGCACCTGAAAATTGTCAGGGTTGAAAAACACTTCCCTAAAGCAAGACCAGAGCTAGCACATGGAAACTACAAGAAAGGAAATTCAGACTAAATGTTACGAGACTTCTTGCCTGACCAGCTTCCAATGGTATCTGAAGTAAAACATACGGCATCAGCCTCGTGAACCACTCTTTCCGCTATGTATTCAAAATGGACGGTGATATATATGTATGTATTTGTTTTCTGAGGTTTTCGCGGGTGTTTGTATGTAGGTCTTTGGTTATTCGGGTTTTCTCCCATGTAAAATTGGAAGTGTCTTGGCGACGTTTTGACGAAGTCCCATTTGTCATCTTCAGGCTGGTGTTTTCGGCTTTGTGCTTCTAGGACAGTGGTTCTCAACCTGTGGGTCGGGACCCCATTTGGGGTCGAACGACCATTTCACGGGGGTCGCCAAACAACGCAGTCCGCCATTTTTTCCCCCTTTTTCTTAGCTGTGCTACTCCCTTTTATTCTATTGGCTTTTGAAAGCCAATAGAATAGACTCTCTTGAATAGAGTCTAATTCTATTGGCTTTCAAAAGCCAATAGGAATTGTCCAGGCTGTCTCTGCCCTGCTGACCCGCCAAAAGTCCCATTCTGCAAACGGTGCTGCACCAGTTGAGTAGTCCTCGACTTACAACCGGTTGGGGGTCGCGGCATTAAAAAGGTTGAGAACCACTGTTCTAGGAGCATTTTAATGTGGGCCAGTGTGCTCATAGTAAAAAATGACGGCGAAGGTTACCTTTATCTTACGGTAAATGCAAGAATTGGTTGTAAGTCAGTTTTTTTGAGTGCCCTTGTAATTTCAAACAGTCCCTAAACAAACGGTCGTAAGCTGAGGACTACCTATGTTTCTCTCAACCACCTTCCCGCAGTTCAGAAACTTTTATGCCTCCTGATGGAAATTCATACAATTTAGATAATAAAATCTGAGCCATTGTTCTTAATAGAATTGTGGTGTCTGGATCCGATCTCTTCCATCCTTGAAGCAGAAAATCACAATCGGACGAGATCTAATGGTTTGAGTTTGTCCTTTTGAACATAATATATATTCTGAAAGGGTTATTACACTTTTGTTTGTTTGCAAGAGACTTTATTGTTGTCCTGTCTGCAATAATACCCCGGATAATTTATTTGCACATTAGCAGTCATGCTTTTAGTTTGATTATTGTACTTTTCGAAAAAAGTCCCTATGAAGCACTCAGAAATGTTTGCTTCCAGCAAACTTCCAAACAAATGCAAATGTCCCTTTCCTGTAATGCTATGCCACTTTTTTTTTTTTAAATGACCTGTATCATTTCTTACTAGTCTGGTTACGATGTACAGGGGGTCCTTGACTACAAACACAATTGAGCCCAACGTTTCTGATGCTGAGCGAAGCAGTTGTTAAGTGAGCTTTGCCCCATTTTACAACTTTTCTCGCCCCAGTTGTTAAGTGAGTCGCTGCACCAATTCACTGAGTCACATGGTTGTTAAGTGAATGATTTTCCTGTTGGTTGTGATTGTCAGGTCACAAAAGGGGATCACGTGACCCCCCCCAGGATACTGCGACCGTCGTAAATATGAAGCAGTTGCCAAGAGTTCAAATTTTGATCACATGACCATGGGGATGGTGCAAGCATCGTTAAGTGTGGAAAACGGTCCTTTTTTTCAGTGCTGTTGCAAACTTCAAACTGTCATAACCGAATGGTTATAAGCTGAGGATTGCCTGTGTCTTATTTCTGGGGTGGTCTTTCTGTGAAATTTTTTTAATTCTGCTGCTTTGATCTGATTTATATTCTAGGTGGGAGCAGAGCCTGGGAGAATGCATAGATTTAATAATAGTAGTAGTAGTAATAATAATAGTAATAATAATAATATTAATAATAATAATAAAGTTGGAAGGGACCTTGGAGGTCATCTAGTCCAACCCCCTGCTCAGGGAGGAAACCCTATACCATTTCAGACAAATGGCTGTCCAGTCTCTTCTTAAAACCTCCAGTGTTGGAACATTCACAATTTCTGGAGGCAGGTTGTTAATAATAATACTAATACTAATAATAATAATAATAATGTTGGAAGGACCTTGGAGGTCATCTATTCCAACCCCCTGCTCAGGCAGGAAACCCTGGCCTATACTATTTCAGACAAATGGCTATCCAGTGTTGGAGCATGCACCGCTTCTGGAGGCAAGTAGCTCCACTGGTCAATTGTTCTCACTGCCAGGAAGTTTCTCCTTAGTTCTAGGTTGCTTCTCTCAATAATAATAATAATAATAATAATAATAATAGTAGTAGTAGTAGTAGTAGTAAAGTTGGAAGGGACTTTGGAGGTCATCTAGTCCAACCCCCTGCTCAGGCAGGAAGCCCCATACCATTTCAGACAAATGGCGGTCCAGTCTCTTCTTGAAAACTTCCAGTGTTGGAGCATTCACCACTTCTGGAGGCAGGTAGTTCCACTGGTTAATTGTTCTAACTGTCAGGAAGTTTTTCCTTAGTTCCAGGTCTCTTCTCTCCTTGATTAGTTCCTTTTTGTTTCCAAGTGGAGAGAAAAAAAACCACCCTCCCCTAAAGCCAAACAGTTCAGCTTAATGGCAGGATGGGTCAGGTTGCAAATTGATTTCCATTTGCTTTTCCAGACCCCAATCATGCTTATTACACCCTCCACAATGTCCTCCATTTATAAATACCCTGAAATAATGCAGTCTTTTTTTTACGTAGCAGAAATTCCTGGGTCTTCTTGTGTTTTACTTGGAAAAAGTGAGTATTGATTTTTTTTTGTTTTGTTTTTGGTTTTCAGCCTGCACTCCAGGGTCAGCAGAGGCTTTTAGTGAAAAACTGAAGGGACCAGAGCCTTCAGAGGGTTTTGCTAAAAGCTTTTTGCTGTTTATGGGTACTTTGTTTATTTTTGAAACTGTGAAGCTCTTCTCAGCTTTCAGAATAAAGAAACAGCCTTTGGAGGTGCTGTTGCCGCCGGGAATCGCTTTATAGAGTGAGATGGCTGGCATATAAATTTAATCAATTAATTACAAATACAGATATGACCGCAATTAAGCCCCAAATGTCTAAACGAGGCAGTTCTTAAGTGAGGTTTTACATTTTACAACCTTACTGGCCACCATGGTTAAGTTAGTCACACGGTTGTTAAGGTTTTTTCTCTTTTACAGGCAGTCCTCCACTTATGACCACAACTCTCGCGGCTCAGCCAGAGTGGTCGTTAAAGTGAGTTTTGCTCCAGTTTACGACCTTCCTTTTGCTGCTGTTGTGGAGTGAATCTCTGCCGTTGTTAAGTTGGTAACACGGTCGTTAAGCAAATCTGGCTTCCGCGTTGACTTTGCTTGTCAGATCACATGACCCCGGGACACTGCGACCGTCGTAAATATGAGTCAGTTGCCAGGTATCTGATCCTGTGAGGATAGGGATGCTCAACCGTCGTAAGTGTGAAAAACGGTCATAAGTGGCTTTTTTAGTGCTTTTTTTTTGTAACTCTGCAGGGGGGGGAAATTCAGTTGCTTTTAGCAGTTTTGTCCCATTAGAAATATGAAAAAAAAAAAAGTCCTTAAAAGTAATTAAACATTGGTCTGGCTCCTGCAGAACGGTCTCTCCCCTACCCCTACCCCCTCTTCAGAGCAACTTCTATAGGCCAAAGCCTCCCCCGAAAAAAGGCAAAACATTCAGGGTCCCCTTGGTCCGCACCCCCAAGGCCGCTGCACTCTCTTGGGGCTGCAAGTGATGTAGACTTTTAACAGACCAGCCACCATCGTTTCCCTGCAAAAGATGGGAACAAAATGTTGCTGTGGCCTGTGGATGATGGGAATCGGAGTACCCCAGCGGCCCATGGGGGGGGGATGGAGAGAAAAGGGGAGTTGCATGCCCCTTCCCCACTTGGAAAGGGGGGGGCTCTCTTTGCAGAGTCCAGGAAGGGAGGGAGGAGGAAGAGGAGGGGGATTACACACACACACACACACACACACACACACACACACACACACACACCTCCTTGGAAAGGGGGATGTCCCTCTTTTTGAATCCCGGGAGAGGGAGGGAGAAAGAGGGAGATCCCCCCCCCTTTGCCACCCCTCTCCCCTTGTCCGGGAAGACACAGGAAGGAGGGGGGAGTTGCACACCCCTTCCTTGCTTGGAAAGAGGGGGTATCTTTTCTTGTCTGCAGAGTTCGGGAGGAGACGAAGGGAGGGGGGGTTACACGCTCCCTCAGCCCTCGGTAAAGGGGGGGGGTCTCCCTTTTGGCAGAATCCAGGGAGGAAGAGGAGGACGGATTGCACGCCCCCTCCCCCCCTCCCCGCTTGGAAAGGGAGGGTCTCCCTTTTGGCAGCGTCCGTAAAGAGAGGAAGAGGGAGGGAGGGATTGCACGCCCCCTCCCCGCTTGGAAAGGGGGGGTCTCCCTTTTTGCAGCGTCCGGGGAAAGAAGAGGAGGGGGGATTGCACGCCCCCTCCCCGCTTGGAAAGGGGGGGGGTCTCCCTTTTTGCAGCGTCCGGGGAAAGAAGAAGAGGAGGGGGGATTGCACGCCCCCTCCCCGCTTGGAAAGGGGGGGTCTCCCTTTTTGCAGCGTCCGGGGAAAGAAGAAGAGGAGGGGGGATTGCACGCCCCCTCCCCGCTTGGAAAGGGGGGCTCTCCCTTTTTGCAGCGTCCGGGGAAAGAAGAGGAGGGGGGATTGCACGCCCCCTCCCCGCTTGGAAAGGGGGGGGTCTCCCTTTTTGCAGCGTCCGGGGAAAGAGGGAGGGCGTGAGGAATAGCAGAGGAGGGGATTGCACGCCCCCTCCCCGCTTGGAAAAGGGGGGGGGTCTCTCTCTTTTCGGCCGCGTCCGGCTAGGAAAGAGGAGGAGGAGAGGGGGGAAAGCCCCCCCCCGCCCTCCCGTGGGGAAGAGGCAAGCCAGGCAGGCGCGCGCGCTTCCTCCCTCCCTCCCTGCCGGCTCGGCGGGCGCGCGCGCGGAGGCGGGGCGCGGGGATTCCGGCGGGGCGAGGCGCGGGCGCGCGCGGGGCGCGGGCTCTGGCTCTGGCTCTGGCTCGGTGGCTGCCGGCCGGGCGTGCGGAGCGATGGCCGCGGGCGGCCCCTGCAGCGCGGAGGAGCGGACCTACCGCCGCTTCCTCGAGGCTTTCCTGAGCGACTTCCGCGGGCCCTTCGAGGCGGCCGAGAGCCCGGCGCCCGCCTCGCCCGCCGCCTCCGCCTCCTCCTCCTCGCCGGGCGGCGAAGGCGCGGCGGCCGGGAGCGAAGGCGGGGATGAGCAGCCGCCGCCGCCTGGCGGGGACGAAGAAGCCGCCGCGGGCGAGGAGGTAGCGGCGGCCGAGGAGGAGGAAGAGAAGGAGGAGGGAGATGATGAAGAAGAAGGTGAAGGGGAGCTCAAGGATGCAGCCGCCGCCGCCGGACCGGGGGAGGAAGAGGAAGAGGAGGAAGGCGCCGGACGGGACGGAGCCAGCCCGCCCGGGGACGCCGAGCCCGAGGAGGCTCCTCCGGCCTCGCCCGCGCCGCCGCCTCGCCCGGCCAGCCCGTGCCCGCCGCCGCAGCCGCCGCCGCTGCCCCCGCTGCCCTCGCTGCCCCGGCCGCTCTCCGAGCACATCACGGAGGAGGAGGTGGAGGGCGAGTGCCTGGACCTCTGCCTGCAGCAGCTCTACAAGTAGTGAGTGCCGGGGACGATGGGGATGGGGGTGGTTTTGGGGGTGGTGGGGAAGACCCGGGATTCCAACTCCCATGCGCCGCTGCTGGCGGGTTGGGGAAGGGCTGCTGGGGAGGACGCGCGCGATGTCTCTGGGAAGGGGGGGGGAGGCTGGACTCCAGCTCCCATGGTCCAGAGAGAGGACTGTAGGCGGATGACTTCGGAGAGGTTGTTTGGGAGGACTACACCATCCATACGCACGCCCCCTATCTGGGATCTCCAGCTCCCTTTACATCGTGGGAAAGGATGGGAGACTACATCATCCATATTCCCCCGTTTGGGATATCTAGTCCTGCGTTGGGGACAGGGTGGGGGACTACATCATCCATACTCCCCTGTTTGGGATTTCTAGTCCTGCATTGGGGAGAGGGTGGGAGACTACATCATCCATACTCCCCTGTTTGGGATTTCTAGTCCTGCATTGGGGAGAGGGTGGGGGACTACATCATCCATACTCCTCTGGGATCTCTAGTCCTGCATTGGAGAGAGGGTGGGAGACTACATCATCCATACTCCCCTGTTTGGGATTTCTAGTCCTGCATTGGGGAGAGGGTGGGGGACTACATCATCCATACTCCTCTGTCTGGGATCTCTAGTCCTGCATTGGGGAGAGGGTGGGGGACTACATCATCCATACTCCTCTGGGATCTCTAGTCCTGCATTGGAGAGAGGGTGGGAGACTACATCATCCATACTCCCCCGTTTAGGATTTCTAATCCTGCATTGGGGAGAGGGTGGGAGACTACATCATCCATACTCCCCCGTTTGGGATTTCTAATCCTGCATTGGGTGGAGGGTGGGAGACTACATCATCCATACTCCCCTGTTTGGGACCTCTAGCTCTTTTTACATATGGAGGAAAGGGTGGGAGACTACATCATCCATACTCCCCCGTTTGGGATTTCTAATCCTGCATTGGGGAGAGGTGGGGGACTACATCATCCATGTTCCCCCATTTGGGATTTCTAATCCTGCATTGGGGAGAGGGTGGGAGACTACATCATCCATACTCCCACGTTTGGGATTTCTAATCCTGCATTGGGGAGAGGTGGGGGACTACATCATCCATGTTCCCCCATTTGGGACCTCTAGCCCTCCCTGTATCAGGGGACGGTGAGGACTACACACTTCACTGCTTAGGAGACCCAGCCCACCGTTGGTGGAGAGGATTCCCAGCAGGGTACATAGACTACACTCCCCATACACCCCCTGTCTCACTCAGGAGATTAAGCTCTGTCTGGAGAGGCTGCTGGGCAGAGTGTTGGACTCCAACTCCCATTCTCCCCTACCCTCTCTAGAGGGGTACGTGCGGGGGGGGGAGGCTTGCAAAAGCCAGATTGCTTTTCCACAAAGATGGGAAATACTTTCAAATAAAAGCTGAATTCTTGTACAGATCTTCAGCGCAATCGCATGTTGTAGTTTGATCGCCTTGTTCCGTCTCCCTTGGAGATCAAAAGGGTTCAAAACCCCCAACTTCTCCATCTTGCCCCCCCCCCCCGGCAATAGGAGGGGCCCTTCCCGAATTTCTGACCGGGAAACCTACCCTGCAGGGCTGGTATTAAAAATCAGTTATTTTCTTCCCGGAGTCAATATAGGCTGACCATTAGGCTAATCAGCACTAAAGACCAGTTAGCTACCAGCCTTTCCCTAAGCAGGCACCCTGCAAAAGATGGGAACACGCTATGGTCTGTGGATGATGGGAATCGGAGTTGCCCAGCTACAGTTGCAGATCTGTTTTTTTGGGGGGGGATTTTTTGAGAAAAAAATAAGGTGCTTTTCTGCCTGTAATACCCTTTACTTGCTGTCAGATCAGCTTTGGTTCTACCTCCAAAATGGAGGGGGGGAAGTACCCCCCCTTTTCTATGGCCCCACCTCACCCTCACCTTGACCCCATGGACATTTAGTCCTTGGGGCCCAATCCTCTTCCCCTGAATATGAATTGCTAATCAAGCGGAAACTGTACAGGCACAGTGTGCTTTTTATATACATACATACATACATACATACATACATATATATTTCTCAAATTTGGATTGCTAGCAAAGAATTAAGGGAGCATTCTATCTAACTATCTATCTATCTATCTATCTATCTATCTATCTATCTATCTATCTATCTATCTATCTATTCCATGAAAATATGCAAATGCAGAATTATCTAGTATAAAGCTAAAAGGACAGCTTGTACAGGCACAGTGTGCTTATATGTATGCGTGGGTATGTGTGTGTGTGTTGTACATAAAAATATGCACATGCAGAATTATCTAGCAATAAGGCTAAAAGGACAGCTTTAGCCCCATCAGAAATCAAGAGTACTCCCGAGCATTTGCAAAGTGTAATCTGCCTCCTCCTAAAATCCTCTTTGATTATGCAAGGAGAAATTCTTTGACTGTGCAGAAAATCCTTCCGCACGTTTTAAAATTTTCAGCTCGTGGCTCGTCACAGACGGGTTTTCCACATCTGCATTTTCACCTGCATATATAAATCTAGTTTGGAGCTGATTTGCAACGTCCCCTTTATTGCTGTTTTATTTCTGATTTTCTTTGATCTGTTTTTACTGTGAGGCATCTCTCACACACACATACATACACACAGAGAGAGAGAGAGGGAGAGAGAGAAGCAAATTAATTGGTATTGCCTGCGGAAAGGAGGCATCCCGGCTAGTTTCCTCCTGTTACTGTTACTTTTTTTGGAATTGAGCCTTGATGTTAATAGGAAAGGATGGCTGGATGTTAGCGACTCTAATCTGGTTACCAAAGCACATTGCATTTTATGTTCGTTTGTTTGTTTTAAAAAGAGTAGATTCCAGAAGCTCTGGAGTTCCCACTTATCGGCTAAAAATAAAAATGAAAGGTTCTTGTCTATAGTTTTATCTCCGTAGATAATCCTGTGATGAAAGGAATCCGGGTTGCAATTTGATATTTCTATAAGATTTTTTTTTTTCTCCCTACATCCCTTGTTGGAAATTTGTAGCAAAGGGTGACCCCGGAAGGTGAAAAGATGGTTGCAAAATAAATACATAGATTAAATCCTCTGTTTATAGGGAAGGGAGATTAGATTTCAAGAAAACGTTGGGGAGCGTGGGGGAGGGACTGGGGGGAAAGCAGGAAATTTGCTCTGAGTTTAAATAGGTTAATGGCTGGCAAATACGCACAAAACAAATTTAAAAAGAGGGAAAAAAATAAAAATCAAAAAGGGACATTTTTTAAAAAAAATAGCATAAAAATCAGAGATCGACACAGAGAACTGCATAAGATTTGTATATTGCACAGATTTGCTTTGTCCGAATGGTGTCGTTTGCAAACCGGGATTGATGCCTTTATTTTATTCCTTGATTAAACCGATTTATGTTGGCTGTCCAACTTAAGTGACTTAAAAATGACTTAGCATGGGTGTAAAAGAGCCCGGCTGGCTGGCGTTATTTCATCCCAGGAAAACAGGGCTAATAAAAAATCTTTCCCCTGGCCCAGAAGCGCTGCCTCTGGGATCAGAGCTCAGCTTTTCAACCTGCCCTGGGAATAATCCAAATTTCCTAATTTCAGTTTTGCGTCGCTGAAAAAAACGATGGAATTGGAGGAAAGAAGCTGGCCTTATGTCAAAAAATTCCCGATCTAGGTGGAAAAATTCTGCTGGGATGAATTAAGCCAGGGGGAGAGGGGGAGAGGTGGGGGTCTTAACTGAGTTAATATGACAGTGAGTGATTTGAGAGGGGCAGGTGGGCACCCCCCATTTGGGGACTGAACAGGAGCCCCTGGTGCTTACGGATGGGCAAATGCTCCGATCCAGCCTTTTAACTAGCACTGAAATCAGAATTCAAACCACATTAACAGGCCGGTTGTCGAAATGCATTTGCAAGATCGGATATGCGGCTGAACTAGAATTCCCATCTCCCTTGCATTGAGGAGGGGGGAACAGCTGAGTATAACCGAGGGTAACCAGGTGCCTAAAATTGGCCATGATGGACGGGCAATTTTGAGCACCCACAGGAGAGAAATCGGGGTTTTCCTTGGGGGCAACGCTTGCAGACCCAACCCCAAATTGATCACAGATGCTTTGGTTCTCTGTTTCTGCCCTGGCTGGCTGGCTGGCTGGCTGTGCAGCATGGTTGAGGGTATTTTCCCCCCCTCCCTGATGGAAACCTCTTTAAGGCTGATCGGAGACGGGAAGAGAGGAAGGACTGTTCCGAAAATAGGCTCTCGGCGTGCTGTCAAAGACCTGGTCGCTGAAGTGAGCACTGTCATAAAAGATGCTAGAGGCTATTCCAGGAATAAAAGAGGATTTTCAGTTTGGGGCCTGTCCGTTTCTGCGGTGATTTCTGCTTTTGTTCAGGCAGAAGGTTTTTAGAAATGATATTTTTGCCTTCTCGTATTGGCGCTTTGGGGTCTGAGCGAAACGGTTTCTAGATCAGCTTTTCTGTCGCGCACCGTCCTTCTCAGTGTGGCAGCAGTTTAATTATATGACATCCTTGTAACCAAAAGGATTATTTTTAGTTAAATGGACGTTTCTTTAATTACAGTGAGCATCTTCCTTGTTTTAAGTGGAATTAATTAAGGATATATACATAGAGACCTTTTGGGGAAAGGAAGAATTTGGGAAAATGAGAAAAGATTGCAGAGAGAGACAGACACACACACACACGCACACCTGAATTTATCCCTTTAAAAAGGAGACAAAAGGAGTGTAAAATTCAGCAGATGAGTAGTTTTGTAATTAAGTTAGACAACCTGTGACCTGTTGGGTCCTCTTTTCACAGATACAGGTAGTCCTCAGCTTACGACCACAATGGAGCCCCAAATTTCCATTGCGGTTGTTAAATGAATTTTGCCCCATTGTGTGACCTTCCTTGACACACTTGTGAAGTGAATCACTGCAGTTGTTAAGCTAGTCACTCGGTTGTTAAGTGAATCTAGCTTCCCCCGTTGACGTTGCTTGTCATATGGTCGCAAAAGGGGATTACGTGACTCCGGG